AGAAGACCTCTTGGCTAGGGCATCCGCTTGTTCGTTGAAGTGGTTATTGCTGTGGGCTGTAATTTTCATGAATTTTAGGATAATATTTTTAGAAGATATGATTCAAAAGAGTGCATGCCATATGCCGTAATTCGCAATTTTAGATGTAGGGTTAAATGTTGGTAAGGCCATATAGTATTGGAAAAATAGGTTATAGTGACTGATCATAACCAATGAATCAGTACATATTTCTACTTCAGCATTGCTAGGAGAAGCGACGATGGCTGCTGCAATTGCAGATAGCTCTGCTAATAACACACTGGTTGGAGAGTTGACAATCGTCGCATTGAAGGATAATGGAGGAGCATCAGGATAGGCAAGTACCCAAGCCGATCCCATTCTAGCCGAGGGTAATCCAATATCGGAGACTAAACCATCAGTGTAAAATTTTAGCTGTGGGATGTTAGTGAGGCGATATGCAAAGTCGGTTAATAAAGTCATTGACAAAGAATCAAAAATGTTACAGGAGATTAAATTTTCCAAAGGGGGTCTAGAACTATTAGGGGACCTATTATATGAATCAAAAGCAAGATCGTTTAAAAGAAAAGGGGAAAAGCTACATCTGTAGCCTTGATTGCGGACAGTATTAAAGTTAATATGAACACAAATGGTCTTGTTGTGGAAGGACAAACAACCGGTCTTCATTCTAATGTTTTCTCGTTTGAGGGCTATTGCCACATGGTGATCAGATAATGTGCATCCTTTACAAGGGATCAGTTGTGTTGTAAACTCAGGTGTTGTATAGGTAGTATGATGATGGAGAATCATATGCTGATTAACGGCACTTTTGATTCTTCCAACAAACACTGCACTTAATGTAGGAATCCAGGAAATTACGAAATTATCTCTTTTATATGTACCATTTCTATTAATGATGAAAGTAAGTCTGTCAAGACGTGGAAGATGTAATGGCGTTGATAGCAGTCTAGTATTTGTATTCATATTTAACGAAAGTTCCAGTTTGGTAAACCATTTAGGAGTGCGGATGGGTGTGCGTCTATTATCATAGAGTTTTGTATTAGCATACGTATATAGGGAAGTTCTATCAGACGAGATGAGTTGGTCGCAGAACATCAAATTTTTTTTATGAAGGACATCGATAAGTTTCCTATAGTTATATTGTGAAAATTGTGTGTAAATTGGCAAAGATCCGCCTATAACAGTATATTGATTTGCCATAACTGCTTTGAATTCAAAATTCCATTTTTTAAGTGTTGACAGGAGGGCAGCAATCCAATCTTTGAAATGCGCTGGGTCGTCATGTGGCCAAGAATTTAAGGGTGAGGTGGGCAACCATTCCATAATTTGAAGTTATAAGATTCTGATGTTACTAGTAAGCCCAATTAAACCTTTGTCATTTGAAATATTATATAAAGCTGCAGTCTTATCTTGTACTTGACTGTCGAAAAGGTGCGTAAGGTTATATACTGAGGGTGTATGGAATGCAGCAATAGGTGTATCATTGGATAAAGATAATTTTGTTTTAAGAATCCTCCTAAATGAGCCCATGAATTTGTCGCACACTTTGTGTCCCAGGAATGTAAGTTGCGTTCTATACATGATTTTTGGTAAAATTACGAGATTATAAATACAGTCAAACCTTGATATAGCGAACTCTTGATATAGCGAATTTTTAAATCAAATATATTAAAATTACCTTACTATAGTGAACTAGCCAATTAAATTCTTTAAAAAATTCGTTATAAGCTTATAACGAAGTTGATATCCAGATCCTAGAATTTGTTATATTAAGAGTTCACTGTATATATTATCTGTTTATCTGTGAGTACTTTTGGTCGTAAGGCGTGGGTAGCTGTGTGCAAGTCTATTTGAACTTATTTTTGAATGAACTGTTTGTTGTTCGACATCGAGATCCAAATGCCAAGGTATCTTATAGATGAATTATACTTGGCCAGTATAAGATTGAGTGCAGAGGTCGGGAGTTGAAAGTGCACAGCATTTTGGTTCTTAAATGGTGAGAAGAGCATTGATTTTATCCAATTAACCTGGATAGAATTTAATTCATAGAAGCTATCGGCTATACAGAGCATACTATTAAGGGACTCTTTAGATTGTGACAACCAAAGGGTATCGTCCATGTATGCTAGAGCTGGCATGTGTGCTGACAGTGAGTGATGGGTTTTTACATTTCCATGGTTAAATTGTGATGTAACCTCCATGTTATACCCAAAAGTTGTATTTTGCACTCGACATAATAAAGGGTCGAAATAAATGCACCATAAAATTGGTGATAAAATTTCATCTTGGTCGATGCCAGAAAGAACTGGGTAGGTAGGGGTGGGATCATGCATCGTTAAAACTTGATTGAATTTAAAGGCGAACAGTGAGGAGATTAATTCAATAAAATTATTAGGCAGGCGTAGTCTGAGAAGAGCTTTATAGAGCATTCCCAAATTGACCCTGTCATATGCCTTTGACATATCTTGAAAGAGAATCCATAGTTGTTTATGATGGAAGTGTGCATCTTTTTTAATATGATCAAGGATAAATATAGGATCTTTAGTCGACCTATGTGGCAGTCCTGCAAAGTTATATCCTTTTAGAACGTTATGTCTAGATAGAATAGATAGTAGTCAGTTATTAATAAGTTTGATCATTGCCTTTCTCAGACATTCAAGTAATGTGATAGGTCTTGTGTTATTCAAGTTGTATGCCCATGGTTTCGGTTTAGGAACTGGGTAAATGAATGCAACATTCCATGCATCTGGGAGGATCGATTTTCCAAGGCAGCTGCAGATAAAAATCCAAAATTTCTTTTTTGTTTGTATACCCATATTTTTAAGCATTTCATTATTGATTTTGGACGGTCCTGGAGCTTTGTTGGAGGGAAGATTATTAAGCACAGTCTCCCATTCATTTTCTGTCAGTGCAGACATAAGGTCACTATAAATAAGTGGATCGATATCGTCTTTAGGGTTATACCAAGAAATCCAATCATCTGATACCACTTTGGAATGATGGACAGTGCCAGTTACTTGTTGGAAATGTTATTGGGTTTCATTAATAATGTCGATTAGGTCTGTAAGTAGCCCATTATTATTGAGAGATCCATCCATACATCGGTCTAAACGAATTGTTGTTCTATGTCGATTAATTAAGGAATCTATCATATCCGATTGATTATCTTTATAATCTTGGCATCGTCTTTCTAGCGCCGCTTTGATGGACTTCATTTTATATTCTTGTTCCATTAGTCGAGTTTTCACTGTAAATGTATGATATAGTTGTTTTATAAGAGGTGCATTAATCTGGACCTTTGTTAATGAATCGCCATGTTCTAAAAAGGAAATTTGCATTTCTTGGGCAATTGGTGGGATTTTAACAATAAATTTATTCCATTCTA